ATCTTTTTAAGTTATCTAAGACTAGAATACGTAAAATAAGTGATAATAATAATAATAATGTAATTAAAATGGTTCATGAGGCACACAAGCAGCTGGTGGGTAATGTAATTCAACAGTGTAAAGTGAGCTGCACATTCTGAGTGATTTACAACTTATAGTTGTGCGGATAGTAGTTAGATATGGTACAAAGGGCAATAAAACAATAACATTTAATTATGAATAAATATAAAATGCTACGAAGTTAGAGCTACTTAGGATAAACAAATGTAGTTTCATGTTACAATTTGAGATGATTCTAGAAAGAAAAAAAAGGGTTAATTTAGGTTTATTTCGATTTGTTTTTTGTGGTTACGAGATCGGTCGGATGGACCGATCCTGGTTTGAGATAGGGTAGAGAAAATAACAGATAAACAATAAAGTTTTACTGAAAAAAACAATTGTGAAATGCATTTAGGAGGTTTTAGGGATTACACAAAGGAAATTTGAGATTTTTGAGATGACAAAAAGTATTTTAAATTTTAGCATGAAAATTACTTTGCACATGAACTATTGAAAACAAATACTCAATATATTCATGGACAAATCTTTATTTTATTTTATTAAAAATACTTCTCTAAGAAATATGACTTTTTGTATGTGAAAGACTAGTAATATTAACTGAAAAACTGCCAAATTTCATGAAGATATACCCAATATATTGAGAGTTATAATTATTAAAATTATAAAGACTTTAAATTAGTACAAAAAGTCACGTGACTCAGTCAAATTGACCAACCCTGTACTGAAAGAGTTAATAAAGCAATTAATTTCTTCAATTCAAACATATCATAGAGACAGAGCATTAGAAAAACAACAAAACTGAAAATTTTAAAATTTATTAAGCAGCTGAAGCACTTTTTTGAATATCATAAGTAATTAGTATAAAATAAAATGTAAGCAAAGACTTTTGGACCACCAGTATATATGTTATAATAATAAAAACAGGCAGTGAATTTCTACTGAGATTATTCGAGCAAACTTGAAGTAAGTTTCTTCACATTGTCACTAGAAACACCTCACTCATGACCATATACAAACCAAGTGAAGTTCAACAGAGAAATAAAACTACATAATCAATTTACTTCAATAAAAATATTATGAAAGATTTTAATCTGCAAATTACCTCAGCCTCCTCTGTTTCTCCATCATAGTTCTCTTCTTGTTCTTCCTTTGCAACACCAAACTTCAAAAAGGTATGTGAAGATCTTTCTTCTAAGGAATCAGATTTTCCTGTAGCTAGAAGTATAAATAATGTATATTTATCTGAAACAACACGACTGAATATTATCAATCATCACTAAGTCATAATAACAGTTCACATAATGATGTAATGCTGCAGCAAAATGTAGGTTTTGAAAGATGTTCTTGCTAGGCACATCGCTCAAACTTTCTTTCAAATTCAGTTATATCTTACCAAGACAACATGATGTCTGAAGATGATGCATAGCAGGGGTAACGTACCTCGTATAACATTTCTTTCTAAGTCAGTTATATCTGACATGCCCTCATACCAACACTTCAAGGACACAGTAATGATGTCAAATGTAAAGATTGGTCTTTCATAATGAAAGAGGTTCAAGTGTCTGATAAAATAAGCAAGTAACAGGGTATTTCTACTTTTTGGCTGACTCTTTCATATTGGTTAAAAAACTTTGATTTTTCACCATATCATTATTATTAATATTGAGCATACATAAAACTTGTATATAAACTTTTTTAAATTATGGACTTATCAGTGTGAATAACATACCACAAATGTGATATAAGCTATTGTTTAGTTCTGCAGTTATAATATTTGAGTGATCATAAAATATAACTTAAAGTTAATATTTTCCTAACCTGAAAATGTATATCAAAGAAATCCTCACTTCCAAGCATAGAATAACTATGTTCCTCATGTGTCCGCCTACGAGATTTGCATGCCATTAGCCATGAGCTAACTCGCACGTACAATTCACGTGTTTAATGTGAATTGTGCTCGTGCATGATGATATCAACATCAACGAAAACCTTTCACCAATAGAAGGGTGACACAATATCCATACACAATAACTCCACTCAATCACTTGCACTTAAATTAACTCCATTCTTAGACAAGGGATATAGAAAGTGCAGAGAAAGTGAGGAGATCAGGTGAGAATGTGTGCGAGAGTGAGAATCTATCAGAAATACATTTTCAGGTTAGATAAATGTTAACATCCTCGACAATACCTCACCTCTCACACAGCTAGAATCTGATGTTGAATTGATGGAGGGGATCGTGCAAAATTAAACCCTAGTAAGCTCATTTCAGAATGTGCCTGAAAGGAAAGCCCATGGAATGTGATATCTGATGGAAGGGGCTCCATAGAGGTACACCCTTGAGAGACCGCATTTTGTCTCAACTAGGGTATACTCCTCAAAAGTGTCACAGGGATGAGTAGAATAAGAATATGACCATCTGAGCACTTCACAAATGTAGTCAGAGAGTCAATACGTGTAGTGTTTAGGGCATAATCAAACCATATGACGTGTGCTCATCTTGACTCAACAGGACAGACTCAGGCTGCAGAAGGAGGGCAAATTAGCTGTTTGAGGGATGACCTGCACTACAATAACAGTGAAACCACTGCCCTACTCCTCATCATACTGTGCTAAGCCCAATCAGTGAGGAATTCTCCAAGGTTCTCCATCCCTGTGGCTAGGAACTGGTAAGTGGCAAGGGTCTCTAGTACTCTACTTCAAGAGGGGGAAATCGAATTGGGGAGATATGGAGAAGTGCCTGGATCCCCATCAGATACCTGCCAGTATGGTCTTTTACTGGAGACAGTGCTATGGGTCTATTTTTATAAGCCAGCAATTACATGTTAAAGAAGTGGACAGTCAATTCCTTGCTGACAGCAGTTTTCATGATAGTCCATGGAATGGTACAGTCTGGCTTGGGCATTTGAGTAGTTTTTGTATACTAAAATGATACCTCTAGTGGCTTTGTGGAATACCCCATTTTGATAGTGGGCACTGGTACAGCCAGGTCAGATGGTCTGAGTACTTTCAATTCCACACTCAATTTTGGTGTCTCCATCATTGTCTAATTTTACCCTGGGACCCTCTTCATCCAGAGACCTTTCACCTTCTACCCCCACCAGATGGGTCTGTAAACCGACCTGGTTGTTGCATTTTCTGGATATTGATGCAAGCAGGTGGTTTCTTATTTTGTTACATCACATTCATCACCTGTATCATTATCTTACTTCTCATTTTTGCAGGCCCTTGAACAAGACCCTCCAGGTGGTATGTGGACAACCCCACTCATTTGTCACTATTTCCTTCATTACTTGCAGGATTTCATCTTTTTCTGGTCACCATTCTTCAATCAATTCACTATCTTTGAGCTGGATATGCTTTCTTTTTCTCTTCCTTTCTATCTACCAGGATTCTGGTAGGTGGCTGATGTTGCCTCCCAGGTATGCTTATTTCCCAAATTTACATTGAGCCATGGTTGACTGCTTCCCAGCTGATTTTTCCAAGCCCGTTCCCTTGGCTGTGGTTTCGCATAAAACAACATAAACATAAAACAAAATAACAATTAAACTAGAAAATAAATACAGACCAACTGTAAAAGACACTTACAAGAAAGGGTTATTATCAACCATATATTTTTTTAACAACATTTTTGATTTACTAAATATACACCTTGGGGAGAGGGGGAAAGTGTACAGTTACATCAGTGTTCTATTCATTAACATGAAAACAATTAGTGTTAGCAAATATTTTATGTTTCACAAATATTTCACCATAACACTTATCTTACATCTTGCACAATAAGCATTCTATAGATTTTATTGAAGCAATGTAGCTGTTAACCATACATCTATGGTCCATCATAATGGTCAGCTCCATTGCACAGAAGAGCTGCAACATATAACCTTTTTTTTAATATCTCAAATTTTGTTAAAGTGATTGGTATCATACAGATCAAATTTTCCAAGTGAGTGACATTTCCAATTGATTGCTATTAGAACTGTCAAATGGTTTCCGTTTAACAAGAGAAAATAACAAGCTACTGCTTGAATGCCACCTCATGAACCTTTGAATTATTTAGAACTCTGTAAATTCCCGGAAAGCAAATGAACCTTGAAACACAGAACTAATCAGCTATTAACTGTTCTCATTCTCCTGATTCTCTCAGTCAGGATTATATATTACTTTTCAGGCTTCATTAACTGTAGTTTTCACTGATATTGTTTCTATGACTGCATGGTTCTTATGTTCCTTTGACATTTTAGCCCGTCATGCTGTGTTGTAAAGTACTTGTCTTCCACCCTACATTTCAACTGACCTCAAACTTGCTTAGATTTTCCTGCATACTTTTGCATATAATGAGAGGTAAATAATAGTGTCTGAATGCAAGATTACATTGGTTCCATTAGAAAAAAAATTGTTGACACAAAGAATAAAATATACAAATTTAAAACTGCTGAATTTAAAACTCGCCAAGGAATCAGTCAATTTTGCCCAGTTCATGACCCCAAACTGACCTTGAGTTTTCATACTATAGCTTCTAATATGTTTTGTTTATCTTCATGAAATTTTGCAAGCCTTCAGTAAACATTACAAGTCTTTTGTAGATAAAAAAAAATATTCATTTTAATAAAATATTCATACTAAAAATTTCTCTGCAAATAGACCGATTCATAGTGTTGACTGCTTCAAGTGCAAAATGATTTTCATGTTAAGATTAAAAATATTTTTCTTCATCTGAAAACCTCTTATATAAATTTCAAGTGTCATTTTTTTGGTAAAACTTTATATTTTATCTGTTATTTTCTATATTCTAATTCTATACCAGATCAGGAGTCAAATTGACTGACTTTGTAACCATCATACAAAAATACAAAATAATCCTAAATTACCCTTTTTTATTTCTGGAATGACTGCAAATTGCAACAGGAAACAACAGTTGTTTATCCTAAATAGCTTACAACTCACGTTTCTACATACATTTTATTGTTTTATCGCCCTTTGAACAGTGTCTAACTAATAATCCTATCACACAAGCTGTAAATCACTCAACATGGGTGTAGTTCATGTTACCCAACTGAATTATATAATGCATGGGTTATTCACAAGCTGCTCTGAAACATACCTATGAAAATATTTTATTTCTTCTTTATTTTACCTATTCTAACCTAACAAGTTTGTAATTTTTACATTTTAGTTACTTTTATAATAATAAATAGAGAATACACATGAAAAACAATAAATATAGTACTTACCTGGGTATTCTTTTTTTGTTGGTGTTGACTATCAATGAAACTTAACCCAACTTTTTTTTTTATACTAATGGTACTAGTGTACTAAGCAATTTTTCAATTTAAGTAATGCACCTAAGGGTACAGAATAATAACACATAAAAGCACACAATGTCCCATAACTATCATAATTTTTCTGGTTTTCTAAATATTTCATAAGAGCCATTACAAATTCAATTAAGTTGATCGATGCGTTTTCCATGGGAATAAAGTTTGAACTGGAAGTAAAATAGACAATTCTCTCATTCTGTAGAGAAAATAATGTAATATAAAATATCATTTGATAGATTATAATTTTGGCTTTCTATTGGTTATAAATAATATAGTATTATACATCAGAGAGAACTATTGATAATTTGTAAATGAGAGGATGTGACAGACAGGCATGGCAAGAGGAGTCCGATTTTCTAGTTTATGACTCTCCAACCAAATAAGATTGAAGGTTATAATATTTATGCTTTGCCTGAGTAATGGCTATATCATATTAAGTAACTTATGTTAAATTCCATACTTCTTGGAGGGTGATAAATAAATCAAAGAATACCTAATTAATTAGAGAATATCTAGAGGGCAAATATCACAATTTTCATACTAGAGGAGACTGATTACTGTTTTTACTTATATATTCAAAGCATATTATTAAAATTTGATTTATTAGCTACATTTTAATGCCAAGTTTATTCATATACCATCATAATAAAGTAGTTTAATTAAATTTTGAACATAACTCAGTAAAACTTCCTGATGTGCAAAAAAGGGCACCCGTGTGGAAAGAATTCAGCATATTTCAGAACACCCTAGGTGAGTGTGATTCAAATCATTTTCAGATCTTAACAAAAGCTAATGAATATCCCCTTGTACAGAAGGTTTCTTATACATAAACAGAAGCCACAAAATCACCAAGTCAGTTCTGAATGTAAATTTCTACTAATTATGTAGTCCAGTTTCCACCTTATTTTTTTGTGTATTTTGTATAATGTAATGTATTGTACTAATGATAAATTAACAACTTATCTGCAAGTACGCACTATGTTTGTAATCCCTGTATATACGTATATCACCTGTGCTGTCTATAATTATTTCCAACATTGCTATCAGAACTAAAAAGGTGTTTTCCACCTGGAGAAGAATAGTCAACTATTCTAAAACACTCAACTGTCTGAGTCTTTTGAAATTATTAACAATACTATTATATACTTACATGTAGATAATGTAAATGTTTCTTCTTCATTTTTCACCAATTTGGTATTCAACAAAGCATCCTGCTCCTCATCAAAAAAGGGTTCAGTCTTCATGTTTAATACTTCCATGGTTACATCACAGCATCATCTTAATATCCTTATCAAAGCTTACAGTTAGACTACAGAAAAACAGGTTAACAATTAGAACTTGACTCACACTAAAATTTATTACAAAATCCTCAATAACTACAAATTCACATCATCCTGACAACTTTTGTTTTTTAAACTTTATAATAACTCTGTTACAATTCTCTTAATCTGACAATGTTTAACTCTTTTTTTGAAATATAACCAAAACAATCTTTGCAACACATTTTAATATGCAAGCATGTACGTCATAACTGCAGACCAACGTTTTACCCTCATGAGATACACCTCAAATACAAAATGACAATAAAGTATATTAAATTCTGAGCTTCAAATCACTGAAAACCTCAAGTTTTGAACTTTCATTAATTCCAGTGTATTACACAATAATTCAATCAATACAATAATCACACTGCAAGCTTCCTAGAAAGCCAAATTTGGTTTAATTATAAAATCTATTTTGAGAAAGAAACATTGTTTAACAGAAAAAAACACACATCATTTGTATTGATCATCACAGGTACTCAAAAACCGTGATACTTGTTGAGTTTTTAATTATACAACCTGACTCTCTTCTTCTTCTTACCTGGATATTAATTCTTAAATAAAAAAAACTCCAGAAAACAGCACAAAGAACCTCACAGCATGAAGCACATTCTAACATTAATAACACAGGAATTTTTATTATTTCATCATTTTAGTATAAAAAGAGTCTACACAAGTCAACAAAAACAAGACAAGAAACATGTATATTATATGTAACACTCAACTATGTATAAAGCACTGAAATCATGAATATTTGTAGAAAATTTAATGCAAGGCTTTTTGTTATTACTACTCAAACAAGATCCATGTATTTTTTACAGGGAGTATCCGTTTGTAGATTTTCTACTCATTGTTGTAACTGTAATCATTTACTTTTGAAAAAACTTGTGTCACACAGTAATAAAAAAAAGCCATTTATGACAAGTTTGAACACATACAAACTATTTTCTCTCACAAAAAATACTGAAGGTAAATATCTATTTCTGTGTGTGTGTGATTGTTTGTTTGTTCAGCTGATATTATAACTTTTTAGAATCACAAAAATTGCCCAATGATAATTTTTACAGGATTAATTAGGTCACGAGGTAAGTGAATGTCTTAAAATATGTTATATTTCAGTTATTAGACTATACAAAATGTAATGTCATTATGTTAAAGAAAAAAAATCTCAGGTGGTTACAATATCCTCAAAAAGTTTTAGTGTTTTCTACTTCCAAACATCCATTTCCAAAGTTACCCCTGAAAACATACCCCTAACCCACATTAAGTACACAAGTCTATCTAAAAACCAGTAACTTTTAGTATCTTATTAACTCATTTCTTAAAAACAACAATAAATGCTAACTACTAGGCATACTTTATCTCCCTGATACTTGGCTAATTCTGAAGTAATACAATTTTTATACACTTATATAGACAACTTGATTTTGGCTCGTGGGAACTGTTTTCCTAACAGAGTTCACAGCACTGGACATACAGAAATGAAGTTCTTTGCATAAAACACAATAATTAGCACAATTAACTAGATTATACATTTGAAATTACTAAATAGTAATAGCCATCATGAGAAAATACATTTAACTTAGAGGTGGGGAATAATAAGATAATAGAAAGCCAGTGAAGTATTACTAATTATTCTATTTTATATTCATTTACTTAGAAAGCCTACATGTAACTTTTAGAGCATTTTTTCTCAACATCTTCATTAACTACATGACTGACAACTTGATCTTAGCTTCTGAAAATTGTTCACTTGTACAAGTTAGAAAGTGGCAATGAACCGACAACACTGAGAAACTGTAGGTATGAAACTGATGTGTTGAGTAGCAAACACAACACATTAATTACATGGTCCAAATTACTAAAAAAACACCAATACAAAGCCCATTAGAGTAAAATTGACATTACTTCAGCTAATTAGTCACTACTTTACTACATGTTCATACAGGTGTTTATAAGGTCTAGATCAGCACACCTAAGTGTCATATTTACGCTACTGTACATAACAATATGTACAGTACAATCCAAACCACATGAAATTCATACTATAAATATAATTTAACTTATTATCAAGCGTATAAGCACTACACAAAGCAGGCAGTCAGTTCATCAATCGTACGTTGAACACACAAAAACCAATGTTCTGTCAAATCATGTAGTACGTTCCATCATAAATAAATCACTTCGTTACTCCTAGTTATAAATCGTTGTTTACCTACTTATTATATTAGCATAATGTGCTTTTTTACTCATGCGTGCAACATTTACAAAGTACAATTTACAGTGTTATACAACTGGAAAAATTATTCTTAATCTGAGTTATTGTTTAATCATTTTAAATGTTAAGACACTTTCAGCCTTAGATTTGACGCTTCAAACAAGACTGAAATTTCAATTTAAATATAAACATACACACACACACAAATACTACGTCCCACCCAATAAACTTACAATAACAACACTAATAAAAGTCAAAGCTCAGCCCTTATCATTCAAGCTTTGGTTTGAGATTTTAATCACCAGTTTCTTTTATTCTGACATGTCCTTCGTTGATTTCGCCAACAGTTCCATTGCCTGCCCAATTTACGTGTTTATCAATTACAGTTGTAGATAATAGTAGGGATCGTGACAAAACAAAACAGAAGCCATAAATATCGCCCATTTAAAAATACCTTTAAAATGTATGAATATTAATAATGATTATTTCACAGTATTGGCTGAGCAAAACTGAAGCTTATTATACTTACATTGTAAGTTACAAAGCCGCCTATATCGATTTACACGTGTTTATGGATTTAATCAAAATTTCAATATTTCAACGAATTTACATCTAAGTAAGAAAGTAAATAATTTTTCCATACAAGCGTACAGAAAAATAATGAATCTTATCCATCTAATTATTTCACAGAACTCTTCCGTCTGGGGATCCAATGATTCATTTTTTATACCCAAACGAATATATAAAATGAACGAAGGGCGATTTTGGGCATATAATTAGATTTAAGGGTAGTACAGTACCGTTAAGACGGCTTATCGACTTCTTGAGAAGAATTCTAAGAAGAAAGTAAACCTACAGACATCGGTCTTGTTTAACAAAATCTGCCTACCGTAGGTAAGTAAAGATCCTCATGAACCGGGTATACGCGCGTTCCACATTTATTATTGCTGATACACAAAAACATACTGTTGCGTCAGCAGAGGTCACGTGACTAGTATCACGCCACGTCCTTCTCGAACCTTCGTGAATTGTCGAGAGACTACTAGATTGGGATAGTCTTGTATATATAAGAGATCACAAAGTGACGGCAACAATATGTGTAATTGAACTGAG